CAGATTTTTTTGATTTTTTTTTTTTTATTATATATTTTTTATGTTCGCGTTCGGAGGGTTTGGGGCACTTGTTCGCGTTCGGGCGAACATGTTCGCGTTCACCTCCGAACCTGTCTCTTATACACATCTAGATGTGTATAAGAGACAGCACCACCTCTCCCCCCTATACCACCCCCACACCCCCCCACCATCCCCAAAAGTTTCTCAGTGGATTTGGGCTGTACTCAGCAAGCGCAGTGCAACCCCAAACTCAGATCTGTAAAACAGTCAGTGGATGACTGTTTTCTGATTGGTCGGCAGACTGCCGACCGGTCAGTCCTACTGGTCGGCTGTAAAACGGTCGGCGGCCGGCAGCTATGGAACCCTGGTGCCCGGTCGTTATATCTGTATTTGGGGCGACTGTCAGTTTCAATACAGCGAGAATGAATAGGTGTTCTATTTGGGTGAAGAAGGTAGACTGAATTGCCAGATTCATGCTGGACAAGGGAGAGTTCATGGTGCTTGTGATTTGTGATCTCTCCTGTGATTTGTGATCTCTCCTGAATTGCTAGATTCAAACTCCCTCCACCCTTCCTCTCCTCTCACACTCCCTCTACCCTCCTTACCCCTTCAAACTCCTCTCCCTCCACGAGAGGCGGTTAATGGAAGGCCCAAAATTCGGCGAATTTTGGCAAATTTTTCACCGAAACTGTCATATTTCCCTGAATTTTTACTCTTTTCTCAGTTTTTCTTTTTGCCTGTTATATATGTGCTTTAGGGTATATCTGTATTCAGTTTCGCCGTATTTGAAGCAGTAAAAAAAAACAGACTCGAAAAAAGCTTTGGCGAACTCCAAAAGCTACTCCGAAGAGGGATTTATAGTGCTCTTGAATTTGATCTTTTTGTTTTTTTTTTTGCCTGATTGGTTTTTGAACTTTTTTCATGTTTGTATTATGACCCTGCATAGTTTGTTAGCAACATTGCTTGTAGCGACGCTGCGAAAAACCCCGAATTTTTGGCCTTCCATTAACCGCTAGTGGAGACTACCCCCTCTAACTCCCTCTACCCTTTCAACCCCCTCAAACTCCCTCCACCCTCCTTCCCTTCTCAAATTCCCTCCACTCTCCCTAACCTCTCAACTTCTTTTCACCCTCCTTACCCCCCTTAAACTCCCTCCACCCACTCCTGAAACATTCGCCAAAATTCGCCGAATTTTGGGCCTTCTATTAACCGCCTCTCGTAGTAAGGAGGGTGGAGGGAGTTTAAGGGGGGTAAGGAGGGTGAAAAGAAGTTGAGAGGTTAGGGAGGAGGGAGAACCTGATTCTCCCCCCACTTTCCGATTCCTACAACTACCTACGTGTCTGTTCTGACGGTGTCGGTGTTCTGGCTTTTGGGTGGCTCCTCCTTGTGTAGCCCTGATCTGTCGCTTCGACCACCGTCAAGTATCGACGCCAAGGCGCTTTATGCGGAGATGAAGGGCAACTTGTTGACAGCAGAGAATGGAAAGCTGCTAAACCTCTATCTCAAGGAAGACATGCCTCCTCGCCTTCATTACAGCAACAGTGTGATGATTGCTCCGATCTTGGGGATTGCGGAAGAGGGGTACGGGGTTCGTGTTCGGCGTGGCGATTCCCATGCTAGACTCGGGCAGCATGGGTACGATAACTCGGTGTCGGCGATGAGGGCCATATTTGCCGCAAGGGGTCCGCGCTTTGCACCAGGTAGAAAGGTTCTCCCTTTCATGAACCTGGAGGTCTATAATATTATTTGTAATATATTGGGTGTAAAGCCCCAACCTAATAATGGCTCCTGGGAGTTTTCTAATGACATGCTACTTAAACCAGCTTGAGATTTTGAGGCCAAACTTGTTGACCATGATTTTTCGCTTTTGCTCTTGTGGATTATTAATGAATATCTTCCTGCAACGACGAGATAGAATTGAGGCTTGGAAGTCGGAACATGGAAACCACAACTTTATTTTAAGGGACGCCATGGTGCAGAGAGGAAGAGGGGGGGGGGGGGGGGGAGGGGAGGAGGAGGGGGGTGAAGGAGGGAGAGAGAAAGGGTTGAAAAATTTTGCCTTCCATATGTCTTGATGTCTGTACAGTGCACGGCCTGAACCATGCATGGCACATACATGGCATTTTGAAATGAAAGAGATTGGAAAGAGAGAAATAGACAAAGGAGGAAGAAGAAATGAGAATGGAAGAAGAAGAAGAAGGTGAACACAAGCGAGAACCAAACTTCCCCCTCATCTCACCACCATCTCCCTCCTCCAGCATCTCCCCCAAGATATTTATCTATATCTATAATTATTATAATATTATTCCTTATAAAAGCAAAAGCAGGCCACTCGCGCCACTTCGCGTGTGCCCTTACGGAGGGAGGCGGTACCGGTGGGACGTGACAAGCTGTGGGAAGTGTCCAGGGTTTGGGCCCACGTGCTGGAACAAGTACACAGCGGCGTGACAGCGGAGGTGCAGCCCGCTTTTTCCGGCAAGCAGCTCGAATGGGCCTCACTACTCTACTCACCAAATGTGCAAAATGAGAATGAATTTTCAGCTAAAAAAGGGGAAGGTACACCGCCTTTTTTTTCGCTTTTTTCTTTTGTGCATGGTTAGTAGTGGAGCGAGGCCCGACATTTGTCAATTTTGTCGTTTTCTGGAAAGATCTTTGTAGCAGGGCCATTTTTATTAGTTGTAGACGCGTGCAAGTCGTCTTCTTGGAAAGAAGCAGTTTGACGAGTATATGGGTGTCGCTCCACTACTCACCAAATGTGCAAAAGGAGAACGAATCTTCCGCTAGAATATGGGAAGATACACCGCCACATTATTTGTTTGTGTGCATGTGTTGAGTAATGGAGCGAGGCCTGACCCGGTTGAGGACATACTCACGGTCTCGCTCCGCTACTCGCCACATGCACAAAAGACAAAAAAAATATGGCGGTGTATCTTCCCATATTCTAGTGTAAAAGTCCATACATGAGGGCCTCGCTCCACTACTCACCAATGTGCAAAAGGAGAACGAATCTTCCGCTAGAATATGGGAAGATACACCGCCATATTTTTTTGTCTTTTGTGCATGTGTTGAGTTATGGAGCAAGGCCCATGATCAAGCACGGCCTCTAGGGGACCCGGTTTAGGACATACTCAGTCTCGCTCCACTACTCACCACATGCACAAAAGACAAAAAAATATGGCGGTGTATCTTCCCATATTCTAGCGGAAGATTCATTCTCCTTTTACATTTGGTGAGTAGTGGAGCGAGGCCCTCATGTATGGACTTTTATGGGCCTTGCTCCAGTTCTCACCGAATGTGCAAAAGGAGACTGAATCTTCCATAGGGCCTCCTCGCTCGACTACTCGCTAGAGTCACCACATGCACAAAACACAAAAAAGATGGCGCTGTATCTTCTTCCCATGTTCTAGAGGAAGATTCCTTCTCATTTTGCGCATTTGGCGAGTAGTGGAGCGAGTCCCATAGGTTCACCCGCTGCAGTGCGGTGCTTTCTTGCGGTGCCATTCTTCTCTTTCTCGCACCCTGCTCTCGGTCCCTCTGACTCGGCTGCTCCTTGCTGCCTCTGCTTTCGCACTGTGGGGCCGCGGTGTTGCGGGTGGCGCGTCCACTGCACCGCGGGGGCGATGCCCGAGGCAAGAGGTGTGAGGATGATGGCCACAATCGAAGGGGAGGTGCTTCGTGGTCATGCTAAGACTGCAGCAAGATAAGTTTCACACGTGTTTCTAACTTTCTGTCCGTTTGTCTTGTGCATTTTCCGTCTTCGGAACCATCGAATGGAGCTCAAAACATGAATCCGAATTAGTGCGCCATTACAGTAGATGGCTTCGTGGAATGCGGTGCCATGCATGTCGTACCATATGGGCTGAGTGTGCTCCTCTGTGGGCAGGACGAATGACACTACGGAGTAGTACGGAGTGCTTTGCGGGCTGAGCAGGATTAAGTGGCCCAGGTGCCACCATGCGGGTTAAGTAGGCAACAACTAAGAAAACAACTCAGAGGTTACAGGGGGGAAAATGAAGACAGAAAAACGAAAAAACAATAACAACTCGTATTCACACTAGGACATTTAAACCTCGGGACCTGATTGTGGTCAGATTCGTCCACGTCTGGGCGTAATTGCTGTCAGATTCATTGAGGGGGGTTCTTGTGACCTGCGTTGTGGTCTGATGAACCACGGATCAGAGAGAACACAGGTGCTAGCAGTCGATCCACCACTATTGTAGAATCGACACCGTGCTTGGAAGGTAACGAGACCCTGCGCCGACCGCCCACACTGATGACCCCACGCTTCACACACAGCTTCACACTCAAGATTCATTCTCTTCATCGCATCCACCCACCCTTGCATACAAGCGGGCACACTGGCAAACCTTTTTCCACGCAGATGAGAATGGTGCTCTTCGAGATGAAAATATTCAATATTGTAACGTAAGGCTGTTTCCGTTTTAGACGTACTCATCTGCATGGAAAAGGGATTGTTGTGGTGACATTCTTTTTTTTTTCTTTTTTTCTTTTTTTAACCTGGGATGTCTACTACAGGGGGTGTGATAAAACACACAGACATGCAAGCCAGCACACTCAGGCACAACAGGCAAATGCGCGTGCATACCCACCTGCACACACCCGCCGGCAGGCACAAAGGGATGTGGGCAGATGGCGCTCAACCACAATCAACGTGGCCAGCCTTGTATGTGAGAGGCATAGTAAAAGGGGAGCTGGCTGCACGAATAAATGAAAGGGGTACCTCAAAGAAAGCCAAAGTAAACACAGTTAAGAAAGGGATTTAAAGCTGAGTGGGGATCCGGGCTGCCTGGGTGACCGGCAGGGGCCCGGGGGAGGTCCCGGGCGGCCTGGCCGGGCAGGGCACCCGGTTGGGGGCCGGCCCCCCCCAGTGCACTCACCTGTCGGGGGATTTCGGACCCCCTTTCGGGACCCCTTTGCGTGCGTGTGTGTGTGTGTGTGTGTGTGTGTGTGTGTGTGAGAGAGAGAGAGAGAGAGAGGTGTTCGAATCATACTTGCGGCACATCTCATGCGCGAGGGTGCCGCACGCGCATGCACGCACGCACAAGTGATGTGGCACATTAAAAAAGTAAAATAAAACCGTCCTAGTTGTGTCCAGCCTCTTTTTGGAAGGATCCCTACAGCATATTAGCTGTCCCGACGTCGTGCAGAGATACATTCAAACTTGTACTCCGTGAGGGTGGGCAGAGAATATATAGTCTGGATTCGAATTCAGGTCTGTGCATCTCGGTTATGGGTCACTATTTCTCTGTTTTCTCGCTTTTCTTTTCGTTTCTCGTTTTTCTTTTCTTAGGAATACGTGCAGTGGCCCTGAGGGCCTCTACTCACCAAATGCACAAAAGACAAAACATATGGTGGTGTATTATTCCACGTTCTGCAGAAGATTCATTCTAATTTTGCACATTTCATGAGTAGTGCAGCCAAGCCCTAAGAGTCACGTGCAGAGACCAACAGGGCCTAGCTTCGTGAGCAACCCATAACTGCTGAAACATAGACCTGAATTCGAATTTTGAGTATATATTCGGCCAGCTCGTGCTCTACTTCATAATCACTGCCTGCCTCGATTTTGGTGGGGGGGTCTGCGCTACATGGCTGTGAGGACCCTTCAGAAAGCCTGCATGGGCCGTCTGAGCCGTGTTAAGGGGATCTGTTCTCTCTCTCTCTCTCTCTCTCTCTCTCTCTCTCTCTCTCTCTCTCTCTCTCTCTCTCTC